ACAACAGCATGAGGAACTGTATTAAAGGGATGCAGCATTAGGAAGGGCGAGAACCTCTAATACTTATGTTTCCTTCTTCTCTGAACAGTAGTAACTGTCTCCCCAAGCCCGGTGCTCAAACTGAGCCTTGAGATGAGTGACTAACTAGTAGGGGCATGAAAAAAATGTGGCAGTACAATACGATTTTTGAATAACTGTCTCAAGAATAACAACCGGGGATTAGAGATGGCTCAGGAGTTGGATGCTTGCTGCTTTTGCAGAGGACTTGAGACAAACACAAAGGGGGGGGGGGACCCACGTTTTCTAAGCATAAAAATCTTCTATCACCAATCTCCATATCTGAGCAAAGAATCACATAATACTCCAAATCACTACACTGAATTTCTCTTCTGCTTTATTTTACAAGGCTTCGCTTCCCTCTGGCCTCTCAGATCACTAAGTGGTAAGATGCAAGGGTTGGCTGAAGCAATGTAGGTGGTAATGGATTGCGACTTAAAGTGTCTTTATTAGATTTTACCTGTCTCCTCCTGAATTAGAATCAATGCGGCGTTTGGAGGTTGCATCGTCCTCACCAAACAAAATGGATGCAAGTTTCCTTGTTCTTCACATATTTCAGACAAGGCAACAAGAGTGCAGCTCGGCAGTAAGAAAACAAAGGTCAGCGAGTGACGGAAAAGTCATTTGGCTGTACTTCTGCTGGTGCGCATGGTTGCCTCACAGCTCAGGACTGAATAAACTCCAGACTGAGGTAAGGCGAGTGCTTGCAGGTGGCATGCCTGACATCAGATGAAAGAAGTCCAAGGCTGGTACTGTCTGGGGAACAGACTACATGACATTCACGAGGCAGGGGTGGAGGCGGAAGTTTCTGGCGGTCCCGCTGCTCTTCAATCCCAAATAAACACACAGAGGCTTATATTAATTATAAGCTGTTTGGCCAATGGCTCAGACTTCTTATTGGCTGGTTCTCTCTTAATTATTAACCCATTTCTATTAATCTACATATCTCCATGTGTTGTTGGCTTACCGGGGAATGCCCAGGTGTCCTATCTTCCCAGTAGCTACATGGTGTCTCGCTCTGGCAACTGCTCCCTGCCTTCTGTCTTCCCAGAATTCTAATCTGGTAGCACCACCTATATCTCCTGCCTGTCTATTGACCAAAACAGATTTATTCATCAACCAATAAAAGAATATATAGTCACGGCCAAGAAGGACATCCCCTATCCAGGGGCAGGTTTGTTTCCATTCTACCTAGGGTATGTCTATATGTAGTGTGCTGAGACATCTTCTAAGGGACCCCATGGAAGGGTAATCTTAAATTTTACTCCATATTTTCAACCTTTGTATACATTCCTTCAGCTGACCAACTTGAAACACACACTTCAATGTATCCTGTCCACAAAACCAAGGTACCTCACTCACCTCAGCTCACTCCAGGAGCACAAGCCTGAAGCATTAACACTCCCGCACAAAGGTGGAGAGCTTGGCAATTTCAGACATCTGCCCCATTTAAATATATCTACCAGAGCACTGGAGAACCGGCTCAGTGGCTAAGAGTTTTGGTCTGCAAGCATGAAGATTTGAGCTGCTTCCATCTCTAAGACCCCTACTCAGAAACACACTGGGTCCCCTGGAACTGGAGTTAGAGTTATGAACCACTATGTGGGTCCTGAGACTCAAAACCACGTCCTCTGCAAAAGCAGCAGGTGCTCTTAACCACCGAGCCCTCTCTCCAGCTCCTTGTATGCACTCTTTATCAGTTTCTTTATCTGCCTCTTTATAACCTCTTTATCAGTCTATATTGTTTCTTGATGCTTTTCATGTCTTCAGAATTCATTAGCACATTTTATTCACAAGTCACTTTTACTGACAACATTAGTCTGATTTGGTTGGCTTACCATGATGTTTATTTTATTTGGTTTTATTATATGATGGATATTTGCCATATATAAAATCAGGGGTATATAGTATAATAAAATAAAGTGCGAATTATATAAAAATACTATTTGTGTACAAAAGGTGTTTTGAAAGCAACAGGTTGGACTATCCCACTTCTTCCTGAACATACTGGAGCAGGCAGTCCCTAACTAATATGCACAGCAGGTCCAACTAATATGCACAGAAGTCTTGGCAGACCCTTGGGGCTTGCACTCCCAAACCTGAGAATATATAATTCTAAGTAACAAACACTTCTAGCAGTCATATAACCTATAACCCATTGTTTTCAACAATAAAAGACCAAGAGGCTAATCATTATTAACTGATGTCTTTTGAAAAGTCAGTTTTGAACACAGATCACAATGTAATCTTTGACATGAGACACTGAATAAAAATGTCCCAAAAATTATTTCCATTCCTCCTCCTCCTCCTTCTCTTTATGTAGGGGCTGTATTCACACCTGCATGGATAAAAGTTTTTAAAACTAGACACAGAATACTAGGTGCTCTTTCATGAATGTAGCTCTGTGGTAGAATGCTTGACTAATATCATGATAGTCTAATGCCCTGAACACCGCCCCAAGGAGTACTCCACAGTTTACATTTCTTTAAAATCAAATACTGAAAATACTTCTATGGCTTTCAAGACAGAAGTATGCAATAAAATAGGATGAGATCTATTGGTCCAGTGGGAATGGCCCCTGCTCTCCAGCCTAGCCACCACTCTCAAACACAGGAGCTAAACCCTGTAGTGAAATCGATAGTAAAGTGACTACCTTGGGAACTTCCTAAGTGGAGGGAATGACCAATTTTTATGTCTCACTGCTTTTATCCTTTGTCTGACAGCCTAATGTAAAACAGTTTTCCTTCATTTGCACTAATACAACCCTAAATTTTCATTAAACCTTTAGGTCCAACAGGGCATTTTTATTGGCTTTCCTGTATTAGAAAATCCTGATGGAGTAGGGTAGTTGAAGTAACTATGTAATTTAAGAAAAAGGTGCACTATAAAATATTCATCTCTTGGGTTGTTTTTTAAAAATTGTGTGTACATCTGTGCATGTGAATACAGTTGCCCACAAAGGCCAGAAGAGGGCATCAGATTCCCTCAAGTTGGAGTTACAGGAGGCTATGGGCCACCCATCATGATTGCTGATAACTGGATTCAGGTTCTCTGCAATGACAGTATGTACTCTTAACCAGAGTCATTTCTCCAGCCCCTCTATGCATTTTCTATATGGATAATGGAATTTCTATAGGTTTTAGAGTCCATTCGACATAAAGAATGGTGCCTATATTAACACGTGAATATTTATGCTAAGATGAACATGCTACCTACTGACATCAGACCTGGGAAATTTAATGTGCTTTAGTTGTGCAAGGGGGCCAGGTGTGGTGGTTCATACCTTTAATCCCATCACTCAAGAGACACAGGCAGGTGGGCCCCCAGAGAGTTCAAGACCAGTATAAGCTATACACTAAGTCCCAGGCCAGCCAGGACTGCATAGTGAGATCGTGCCTCAAGAACCAAAAAAATGTGCAATGGAATAAATTTTCTTCTACAACTTTTTAAAAAGAGTATTCATGTAAACCAAAAAAGTTTAAGAATTATTGCTCCAAATCGAAGCAATGAATGACCCTTTCAAGGTCAAAGATACTTGAAGAGTGTTTGGAATCAGCAGTGCAGAGACAGAATAGGAATGACTCTAGCATTTGTTGGCCTTTTCTGGCACCTAGAGGGAGAGCCAAGTATTGATAGTGTTTGCCTCTGAGATTCAGGGCTCACAGGAACAAGAAAACGGCAAGTTCTAATGGTAACTCTATCCAGGCAGTCAGTATTTCTTCAGAAGCCAGTATTTAAGCAGTCACCTTCTCCCACTCAGGAATATTATTTCACCACACCTATGTTCAATTATACATTGTATGTTAGAGTCTGAGGACACAATAGGTAAGACGCTATGAAGACGTGACTATCAACCTCCACAGCACCAATCAGGGGCTCAGAGAGCACAGAAAACACATCAGAAGATGTTGTCCAAGTCAGGGTCAGCTGGAATCAAAGTCAATTCTTAAAAACCAGAAGCAAGAGACCAAGTTTGATGGGCTACTTTCTGGGGACAAAAGTAGGAGTGCCATGTGATACACTTAAGCCAGGGATAGTGATTAGCCAAGAGCAGAGGGCCACAATCAAATTAGAAAATGTAAGAAACCCAGACTTGACTTTTATCTAGTGAGAAATGCGGGCTCCTGTGATAGAAGTACAAAGCAACACTTTAGAAACATTTATGAGACGAACAGCTAAGGACAGACAGTACCTCCTAGAGCTTCAGCTCTACACAGTCCAGTTACTTGAGGACAGGCTTGGGCCATTCCTGAAGCTTTTCCTTGGTTAGTAATTGCCAAGGAGGATGCAGCCCACGGCTGGCAGTGCTACCTTAGGCTCTTCCTTGGTTGGTAATAGACATTGGAGGGCAAAGCCCACTGTGGGTAGTGCTGAGGCTCTTTCTCGATTGCTAACTGACATTAGGAGGGTGCAGCCCACTGTGGGTGACCTCTCTGGTGCTGCCTGTTGTCCTGACCATTCATGATCTCTCCTTCCCTAGAAATCTTACTATCCACCTTGCCCTTCATACCAGTCTTCACATTAATATCTGGTAAGGTAATATTCAGGAAGGAGGACTAAATACTGTATCACTTTTCAAGAAATTACCATTTAAATAAATGGCAGCAAAGCGACAGGGTCTCCCTTTAATAAGTACCTTGTCGGCATGTTAGTTACTCCCATGGTCCTTCATACTATCCCAGCTGAAGAAATCTATCTTACAGCAGGACCAGAAGGTCTTTAAATGGGGCTGCAGAAACATGGATTCTCAGCACCCACATCCACCAGTAACTGCAGTTCCCAGGCAGCATCTGACGCCCTCAGGTCTCCCCAGGAATTTATCGGCTCATGGTGCACTCACACAGGCACAGGCACATATAAAAACAAATGTTTAAAACGACTATAACACTTCATTCTTTTATGTGGTCCAGTCAAAGGAGGGAAAAGTGGAAAGAAAGTAAATATTTTGAGAGTCAATGTCAGTATTTAATACAAACATGAAGGACAAAAATCAGACAAAACATGGCTGAGTATATATACAGGTTGGTGTGGATTTGGAAATGACACAGAAAAAAAATCTCAATGCACCCAACCAAGTAAAAGGAAATTAATATGGCTACTGACAACTAAAGAGAAAGCAAAGGTAACTATTAGTAAATATTACTATCAGCATAACATGTTATAGCAGTAACAAGAATCAAATAGTACAAATATCTTTACTTACAACGGCAGTCATTGTTCAGAATTTTCCTCCCGAGAACCACCTGATTCTATACCTTAAAGACACGCCATCACAGCAGAAGAAAAATAAAATCAGAGGGGCTTGGTGGAGACTCAAATGTGAGTAAAGATGGCAAAACACTTAGTAGAGTCAAAAGAATTGTAAAAACTTGTATTGTTGAAATTCTTTAAAAAGTACAAAAAAGATTATGGGATTACTTGCCAGAAATTTAAACAACCTGATTAAAAAAAAACAAAAAATTTAAAAACAAAACAGAAAAAGCCAGGAAGGCATTAGTATTTCCTGCTATTCTCCAATTTTCCAACTGTAGTTTCAGCTATTCAGTAGCAACTATGCATCCAGGTGACAAGCAATTATTTTTCTAGGGCACGAACCTGCCCTTTGTCAAATGGCTTGTGTGGGAAAATCACCTGAAGGAAGAGTAAGCCTAGCAGGCCTGCGCCTGTCGCTCACAATGACGTGCTATTTTCCATTCCTTTCCTTCCACACAGAAGTTCACTGGCTCAATAAACCACAAGTCTATGTAGCGCATTCTCATTCCACCAGGCACGTCTACTGGTTGGAAAACATGACAAAATCTACCTGATTGCATCAACTACAGAAATAATGTGGCATCACAGTTACTATTAAAGGTTGAACATAAAAAACAATTGGTATCAGTGAAACTGGTCCATGAAAAGCTTGAGAAGGGTTTAATTCTAAAAGTTCACACTTTCAGTCTCTAGACAGTTTTACATCATTTTCTCCAAAGTACATTTTGATTTTAGAAATAGGAATTATTTTCCGATATATACTGGTCACTAAGATAAAACACTTGACCCCACAGTACTGAACACAAATGCCAATGTTCATATGAGCTGTAAGTTGATCTCAAAGTGGGCAAATACACATTCACAATGGAGAGAGAAGCTAATGAACAAATGTCTAAAAGCTCCCATTGGTTTGGATGTTATAGCTCATAATTTCACTTGTAATTTTTACTTGTATTTTGGAGTTGGGTTCTCTTAGGTGATCCAGGGTGGTTTCAGATTCAGCTATGCCTTAACTCCTGAGTAATGGGATTACATGTGTATGCCACTAGGCTGGTTCTTTTACCTTCTCATTAATCTCATTATCTGGATTTTAACTAGACCCTGGAATCTATTACATGGTTTCCAGTTATGAGATGAAAGTGGCAGATGTGTCCCAGGACTTTATTACATGTGTGTCTATGTGTGGGCTCAATTCCAACTGTGTGCCAGTAGAGGGTCAGAGGACATTCTATAGTTGATTCTCAGTCCACCATGTGGGTCCTGAGGATCAAACTCAGGTTGCCAAGCTTGGTGGTAGACACCTTTAGAAGCAGCTACCTGAATTTGCTGCCCAGAAAGCACTAAGTGAAATAGACCAGAATGTGTGGTGCACAGGACAATTGCTGTGGCCTCCACCAACTCACATGCTTGATTTCTTTCCAGCTGGTGTTGGCCGAGCAACCTAAGCTCTTCATATGCTCTGTGGTGAGGCCTACTATGGTTGTGTCTGCACCAATTTGTAGACTTTTATTCTTGTCATTAGTTTCTAAATAAGACAACCATTTCTTTATATGTATGAGCTATCTAGAGATTATTAGAATATAGAGGAGAATATGTGTAGGTTATATACAAACATTATATAGAATTTGAACACCTGTAGAATTGGGTACCCATGTGGCATTCCTGGGACAAACCCCTCAATGATACAGAGAGGATAACTGCAGTTGAACTTCGCCTGCAAACTTCAAAAATTAAAAGAACTATGTAGTACATGAAAGAAAGCACACTGCTCTTCAATGCTTTCCACACTTCTAAAAGGATATTTCGTTTAATGGTGTTAATGTAGAAATTCATGCCAAATCTCAACATCAGTAAGACATGACCCTCAAGGAATGGACCAATAAAACTTTGCATTTTAAAACCAGAGGGACACACTTGGGCACATTATTATAAAACTTGGTTCTAAGCAGGAATGGCTACTGCATAACAAATACTGCTCATATCAAAAGTGCTGGTGACAAGGAACTGTGTGTCCTCCCACAAAATGTTTGTACACATACCCATCTGTCTGTAAGTGTAGTAAGATTTTACATGTTTAAGGTGCTTGACGGCTGACTAGCTCAGAAGCATTCATCTGCTACCCCTTTGCAGCAACTTATCCAGACAAAAATTGTAGCTACTTCCTACTGTGTGGCATCTGTGGAGCTGGAGCGCCCTCTACTGGAAAGGAAGATGACACACTCATCAACTGTCCTCCATGTATTTTTTCATTGATTCGAAGTTCGCATCCATCCTGAAGCATCCGTACTGCTATTCTAGCAATATTCTTAGAGTCATCAAGACCACTGTGAGGCCGCCCATCATAATCCATTCCTAATTTTTCCAGCATTATTGTCAGTTTGGTTTGGCTTCTAGGAACCTGGAAAATAAACAGCTTAGTAAGTATTTAGGTACTCTGAACAGCTCAAAAGAAAAATAAGAAAGAAAACAGTCCGCACCCGGCTCTAGTTCTCCAGGAGAAAAGCAATTTAACAAATGCACAAGCCAAAAGCTTCAAGATCGCAATTATGGACATGCTCAAGAACCTTAACAAAGATATGAGTAAATGCTTGAATGAAGACCAGGGACACAAAGAGCTGAATGAAATAATAAAACAACGCAAGGCATGAAAATAGAATCTAAAAGAAAAACACAATCATTAAAGTCAAACTGCCAGGTGTGGTGGAATACGTCCTAAATCCCAATCTGGGAGGCAGAGACAGGCGGTTCTATCTCTGTGAGTTTCAGGACAGCCTGGTCTACATAGTGAGTTCCTGAACAGCCAGAGCTACATAGTAAGATCCTGACTCTAAAAGAACAAAAGAAAAAACAAACAAACAAACAAAAATCCTCCCACAAAACTCAAAATGCAAATCTCAGTAAGTCAAAATAAAAAACTCAGAGGAAAACTGAGGTGGAAGAGAGTTTCAGGTCATGAAGACACAGTAAAAGGAAAGGAAATGATGAATCTTTAAAAAACAAAACAAAAAAACCAAAAAACTACCAAAACCAAACCAACACACATATACACAAAACAAATACATAAGCAAAACCTCAGGCACAAAACAGCCAGGAAATCTGGGATGGGAGACTATGAAATGACAAACCTGTAAATAATAGGTACAAAGGGAGAAGAAACCAGGGTCAATCAAAGGTACAGAAAACATTTTTAACAAAATCATAAAAGAAAAATCCCAAAATCTAAAATAAGGGATTCCCATCAAGCTTTAAGGGGCACACAGAACACCAAATACACAGGCCCAGCAAAGAAAGTCCCCATGGCACCTTAATAATCAAAACACTTATATACAGAACAAAGACAGGATATTAAAAGCTGCAAGGGAAAGAGACCAAGGCACATAGAAAGGTGGACCACTAGAATAACACCTGACTTCTCGATGGAGACAAGCACAAGCTCTGAAAGACCACAGGCAGACCACCACACCCCGCTAAACCATCAATCATAATCACAGAAGAAAGAAAAACATTCTGTGGACACCAATGTTAGAGAGCTGGATGTCCAATACCCAGTCGTACCTTTGAGGTACTGACCAGTAGAGAACAAATTAAAATTGGGTGATGTTGAGGAGGTATGCCCACACCGTAGAACAGGCAGGCAAGCTAAGACTGGGTCACTCTCAATGGTTTGGGCGGAAGACAAGTCAGACCTCTGGATCTCTTACCCGGGTGTCAGCAGGAACATCACTAGGGAAGAGGAATACTATGACTGCTTCTCCTGCCTCGCTCGGCCACCATCACAAAAGCCTCTTATAACAGTAGGTGGCAATTAACAGAGACCCACAACTGGGCAGTGTGCAGAGTGAGGCCTTGGAGCATTCAGCCCTAAGTGGGACATCTCCATCAAACCCCTCCCTCAGGGCTAAGGGAGCTCAACGGAAGAGGTGAAGGAGGCAGAGGCAAAAGATCACTCAGAGGGACTGCTAACAGAGACTTCTGGCCAGTCTGGGTGGTGGCGCAGGTCTGCTGTCTTAGCACTCTGCAGGCGCAGGTTCTAGATCAGCACAATCAACATGGTGAGCCCCTGCCCCCAGATGAACACAAAAGAGCAGGAGAGAGGTCCAAAATACAGCATAAATGTAAAAACAAGATTGAAAAAGCACAAAGGTAAATACATGAAGAAACGACTTTTACTGTTAAAAAAAAAGTTTTAGAATAAGAATCAGTTCTGAAGAGAACCGTGACGGGAAATGTACATTTCTCTAAGTCAGTGGTTCCCAACCTTCCTAATGCTTTGACCCTTGAATACGGTTCCCCCCCAAAAACTAGTTCATTGCTACTTTATGACTGCAATTTTGCTACTGTTATGAACTGTAATGCAAATACAGGTTGGGAACCATGTTGTAAGTCTTATAATATTACTTTAAAATTTATACTACTTATGCATGTTAAGTTTGATCAAAATAAAGTAGATCTAAAAATTAGCAGAGACAGTTTAGGCATACAGTGCTTGCCCAGCAAACATACCACACAAAACTAAATAGGAAATAAAATCTAGTTGCATCTGTCCCACAAGCAATCCATGTATGAGTCTCATTGAGGTTAATGCATTAAATGAGGATAAAGAGCAGAGAGAGTTCCAATTTAAAACAACTGAGATTCTAAAAAAAGTAACAATCAGATGGCCTTTTCTGTGAAAAACACCTTTTTAAAAAATTACAGGGAGCTGGCTGGGCAGTGGCAGCCCACACCTTTAATCACAGCACTTTGGGAGGCAGAGACAGGAGTTTGAGGTCAGCCTGGTGTCCTGAGTGAGTTCTAAGACAGACTCCAAAAGCTACAGAGAAACCTGTCTGGAAAAACCAAAAACACCCAACAGGGGATAGAGGGATGGCCTGGCTGTCAGAGCACTTGCTGCTCTTGTAGAGCACCCAGGTTGGGCTCCCAGCACCCACATGGTGGTTCATAACCACCCATAACTCCAGTTCCAGTGGATCTAACCCCATTTTCTCTTCCACGGACAGAAGGCGTGCATGTTGCTTATATATACACACACAGGCAAAACACTTGTAACACACACACACACACACACACACACACACACACACACATAATTTTAAGAACCTAAAAAAATTCTAATATACTTGCATAATCACAGCTGAATATGTATGGTAGAACAAGTATGACCAAGGACATAGCTAACGTAAGTAAAATTACCTTATAAAAGTTTCCGTATGACTTTCGAATGTTGATCCACTTTTTAGCAAAAGGAGGGTATTTGAGCCTGCTGAGCTGGCACTGGATGTTCAAGAACTTACTCATATCCCAGGAGCTTATATAAAGAGAAAAAGGGTATAAAGTAAACGCTATAGAAAGTTGTTCTGTGCTCTGCTTATGTTGACCTCATATTCACACAGAATACTAAGCTTAGAAAATTAACCTTGATTCCCAGAAAATACTTTTCAGCTTTAAAAAGGAAAAAAAGAGTAGTATTTTCTTCACAGACTAATTCTTGCTAGGCTCATCTTGATTGCTTTTGTGGCTCTGACTTCAGGTCAAATTTCCACCTTGCTGAGTTCTTCTGTGTAACTGCCAGGCTTGCATGTTACACCAAATTTACCACTTTCATTAAGGTCTTTAAGAGCATGCCTTGACATAAAACATGTAAGCAACTAACTTAGAGACAAACTGTAGGGTTAAAATACAACCTGGCCTGCTTTTCTCTACTGTGCTTACTGTGGGGCATAGCACACACTCCTCAGTCCCAGTACTGTAGAGGCTGCAACACACAGACAAGCCAGAACTAGAGTAAGACCTTGTGCAAAAACCAAACCAGGCGCGTACCGAGTGTGCAATGTGGAAATCAGTTCATTTGAATGTGGCTTTTCATAGACAGAGTCAAAAACAACAGTAACCAGTCCCTTCAGTGGGAAACTTTTACAACCCCTCAACTCAGCTGCTATAAATTAAAAACAACTGCATACCCTAGGGTCCTACCGCTTCTGTGCACTTTAACGGCCCTCACCCACGCTCACAACTCTAAGCCTGAGTTGCCTAATTGCTTCTGCGGGCATCAATGACTGTTTTTGCTACAGCTCTAATTAAAAAACAAAACAAAAAACCATACCGATTTTGAATGATCTACCCCAGAATTTAAGGTCGTATATGAAGATCTCTAAGCTGTCTATGTCAGCAACATCCTGACACAGGAGCACACACCACCATGGGCTCAACTAGACCAGAGCCTCTTGAGGGCTGTCTTCACCTTTAGTGGCACTGTGGTACAGTGACCTCCAGACAATGTCTGTAATCCTCTCAACCCTTCAGACATTCCTATGCACTTCTTCATTTTTCCTTTTCCTGTACTATTTTGGAAAAGAGGCACAAGTAGGTTTTTGAGATAGGGTCGAGGCTTACCTCAGATTCACTACGTAGGCTGACTCTGAATCCCTGATCCTCCTGCCTCCAACTCTCAAGTGAGGGGATTACAGGAGTGCCCCCACACTCAGCTCTCATTTCCCTTTCCAGTTAACAGAAAGCTCTGGACTAGGCACTTCAGGAAGTGTTATGGAAGACTACAGGGTAATAAAAGGACATGCTCTGAAAGGACCTCCAACTTCCTAAGAAAAGGGTCACACATCAGTCAGACTGGTTAACACTGCAATGGCCGAAGACTTTCACAATGTGAGTTATAGCGCCAGAGTACTGCAGAAAGAAAAAGTGGTAAGAAAGGGACTCTCCCAGAAGGAGGAAACATGAAATGGACAGAGAAAAGGTAAATCCTGCGACTGAATGGGCAGCCTGAATAATGGTGGGTGAAACAGGCATAGGCACATTGTGTGTGTGTGTGTGTGTGTGTGTGTGTGTGTGTGTGTGTGTGTGTGTGTGTGTGTGTGTGTATGTGTCCCCATCAGGCTGAAGACCCCTGACGGAACAGGGCTCCAGACAAGCTGTGTCAGTGTCCTGCAGGGCATGCATCATCCCGGGTCTCTAGTCACAGACTTGATGTGATGGTGGCTTTCCCTCCTCCCCTCCATCCTGAGAACTCAAACTAGGAAAAGAAAAAGCACTCTTTCTTGTGGAGTGACTACTAGGGACTTCTAATAAACACTTTGTGGACACCTAGACATTCAATGAATAAAAGCTTCTTTACTGTTAAAAAGGATTCACAGTACTTTTTTACTTACCCATCTGTCAATATGCAGTATTTGTACTTAGTTCCTAATTCCTTTGACTTCATCCACTCAATTACCTTTTTCAGGACCTGAGGGAAAGCATCAGCTTTGTCTACCTGATCCTGAAGACATAAAAGGAGAATGAGGTCAGGGCGGTTACTGCTTGTAGCCCTACAACACACCTAGGCATAAACCAGAGAGAATCAAACAGTACATGAACTGTTTAACTCTGATTTCAATGGTTCAGATCTACTTACTGCTTAAATGTTCACCTGAGATAATTAAATCATTTTATGTTCAAGAATTACAGACCTCTTTTAAGTGCGTGCACAATTCTCCCAAAATTAAGATTTAAGATTGTCTTGGTTTTGTCAAGTGACACACAGGTGATCTAGAGTCACTGGGAAGAGTGAACAGGATTGCTGGATCAACTGGCTTGTGAGTGGCCTGCAGGGAACTTCCTCAATCACTGATGCAGGAGGGCCAAACCCACCGTGGGCAGAACCATCCCTAGGCAGGTGGCTAGGGATCCTGGCTACAGAAGAAAGCCAGCTGAGCACCAGGAAGAGATCGAGCGAGGGAGGGAGGGAGGGAGGGAAGGAGGCAGCGTCTGCTTCTGTTTCTGCCCCTACTTCCCTCCGTGATGGACTGTGATGGGAAAGTGTAGGCTGAAGTAAGCTATTTCCTCCCAAGTAGCTCTGGTTGTCTTTATTCCAGCAGTAGAGCGCCAACTAGAACAAAGACCAACTCCAGTGGCTCTTTGTGATGAACTGATTCCTTAGACAACAGAGGGATCTTCCTCTAAGCTACAGCCCCTAAGCATTCTATGTCAAATCTCACGCTTCTCTACACTTTACTATACCACAGTATATTGGCACATCACCCCACTGCCATGAGGCTGGACTCTCTAAAATGTCAACATGATGCATTCAGGGTCATGGAATCCTCTACGATTTTATCCTCCTAGCTCATACATATTCTCAAGAACCCATAGATTTGAGTCATCAGGAATTACACTGAGCTCTGCCACAGCAGAACTAAATGCCTAAAACACCTAGTCCTTCCTTTCTGTCCATTTACTTATCATGATTCAGCTCAACTTCACCAACATGAAGACCCGTCTCAGGGCAGCCCTTCCTTCCAACACAGATGTAAGCCTCCTGTATAGACATCTACACAACCTAATAAAATACTCTTCCTGGCCAAACTGTAACTATTGGCTTATTTTGCCTGATCTCATTATTACAGATTTGCAATATACAGTAGGCATTGAACTATGTATAGAGTGAAGAAAGGATCCAAATAAATTAAAAACGGCATATGCATTAAAACATACACAAAAACCACAGATCGATCACCCAAGGTATAGCCAAGATTGTAAACAGACATGTTTTAAATCCTATCTGTGAGTGTAGCACAGTGACACTTATCTTCCCAAAGCTCCATTTTACAACTGAGATCTTGATTGCATCATTACAAACCCAGGGGTGTGTGGGGGAAGTAATAGAAATGACATCAAGTATAGAGCCGGCTCTTTGGCTTTGTTGGTATCTGATGTCTTTGCTCAAGACAGCATCAAGCCTCAGAATCGCATGCCCTACTCCCTTATCAAGTGAGACTATAGCACACACCACTGCACCAGCCCCAAGGCCTTTTGTTTATTTAACTTTTTTTTTAATTCTTTAATTTTATGTGCACATTCAGTGGCTATGGAGGCCAGAAGAGGGCATTGGATCCTGAAGCTGCAGACAGTTGTAGGCCGCTATGTGGGGCGAGGAATGGAACCCATGTCCTGTAAAAGAACAGCCAATGCTCGTAACTGCTGAACCATCTCCACAAACCATCTCTTTGTTGTTGTTTTAATCCCAGTATGAAGGAAAACAGCACATTAAATTGCTTGTAACAATCTTTGCTTTTTTTCAAGACAGGGTTTCTCTGTATTGTTTTGGAAGCTGTCCTGGAACTCACTGGAGGCAGAGGCAGGTGAATCTCTGAGTTTGAGGCCAGCTTGTAAGGATTTTTATAAACTATTCACAAAATAAATCACTGATTTAAAACTTTCTTTCAATTTTAAGATAAGCCATTACCCACCATCAAAACCAACAGGATTTAAGAAAGAATTATCACCTGAGTAATTCCAGTAAGACTGACGCAGAAATCTGACAGCTGTGAGTTAACCTCTGGCCTTACGTACTGCTGAAACGTGTCTTCCTGCAGGGAGGGACACAAGGGAAAGTGCTTTTAGGTGACTACAGAACAAAGCTGGCCACAGCAGAATTACATAACTACTCCTGGCAGATCATTTCAGAGATCCAAAGGAGAAGTCCCCAACAGAAGCCCTGATATTTAAATGTAAAGACACGGTTTATTTTGGTTTTTAAAAAAAACATCATGTTAACAGGTGTCTGAAAGCAAACTGAGTTGTGGCAAATATTTTCTTGGCATGTAAAATGTTGGTTATTTTGTTTATACTTTGTTAAGAAAATTAAACCTATTAAGCTGCTCCTTTACGAAAATGGATTTTAAAAGTCTTTTGAAGAAATGAGGCTTCAGTCATAAGAAATCAGGTTGAAACTAAATAATAAATACATGGATTTAATAACAAATATACATAAGAACAGGAGACAATCAGAGATAAGGCTAGATCATACATGGAATGTTTTTTATTTAAAGTTAAATCAGGATCACAGCCATGTTTTGAAAGGATTCCTTGAGCTACTATGTTGAAACTGGCTGATAACAAGGACAGAAACAGAGACCTACTGATGAGAAATTGTCCAGAAGTTCACAGGCCAGCTAGCCTGCAGCAGTTAGGCAAGAGAACTAAGAAATCCTATCTAAACAAAAGTGGAAGGGGAGAACCAAGTCCCCAAAGTTGTTCACACATGGGCTGTGACATGCACTCTACTTGTATGGGCGTGCGTGCGCGCATACACACACATACATACACACACACTCCTTTGTAAATTGTTATAAGAGAATAGACAGCTTAAACTTGATTGAGTGAAGTGGGTATAAGAGATGACAGAAAGAAAGCAACTGATGAGAAATGGACATAACTTATTTGAAGGGTGGTTCCATAAAGAAGACAGTAGCCAGCAGTACAGTGGAGTAAAATAAGAATGTGCTTGTGGTGAGGCAATGTGATGAGAACAATTCAGAAAGCAATGCGCCCTAAAGTCTAGTTACTAAATCAGGATCCTGAACTGCGAGAAGACATGAAGTCATCTGAGTTATCCAAGATATCTGCCTTCATGGCTGTCATTTTCCTTTTGACCATTCATCTGTTTTGGAGAAGGCAGTTTTAGAAGCAGGCTGGATTATGCAGGTGGAAGAAATAGTAAGAGACCAGCTTCACCAGGTGTGAGGACAGAACTCCCTAAATCTGCCCTCAGACCCCCACTATTAAGGGGAATGGAGGGAAGAACGTAACTAAAAGAGGTTTTGAACAGAAAAACCATGCATTACCGTGTATGAGGCCTTTCTGGACTTAAGTGATTAGTCCCCTCCATCACATTTTATAAGGTAAAAAGTATTATTTTGAGGAGTTCATCCTATCATGTCCTGAACTAACACTGCAGTGCCAATAATTATCTGGGGCATATACAAGTTCGGCTTGGGAATTAAGGTTCAGCTGCCCCCACCCCCAGTGCCACTAGCAATTACTTCTACAAACTATCCTTTAACCTCTCTGAACATCAAAACTGCCCAAAGTGCTTTAAAAAAAATAAGTTGATTCGAAGGGCCCTCCACAGAACTAGATTCTTCTCTCTGGGACCAAGCCTAGGTACCAGGATATTCTTTTCTGTTTTGTTACTTCCCTAGAGACTGCCATCTATTCAGATGCTCTAAGAAAAAGAAAAAGCGCCACAAGTTCAGCTCATGGAGAAGAAAAGCAGTTCCTGGAATTGCTTCATTAATCATGGCAATAGGGAGCTCACAGCAATATGCAAAGATCTCCTTTAGGAATTCAATTTCCAGTTAAAATGGCAAATGAGCTTCCAGCTTGCTACTCAACACCAGAATAGTTGCTACAAAAATAAGATGAAAATGCAACGATTCACTTACTATTTCTAAGGTGTGCGTATTCAACAGAACAACAGGAAACTCAATGATTTCATGTAAGAACTCAGCTGGGTTCCCCTCTTCACAAGTGGCTTCAAAGTCAATAACACAAATGTAGTCATAGTAACTGTTCACACAACTGCTTTCTTTCAACATCAGCTTCTGCTTCTTGTAGTAGTTTTTCAATCTCTTCTTTAGGACATCCTTGACCCCTCTAAAAAACACAAGATGATGTAAATGTTTCAGTCAAGAATCACGAGTCTTAACTGCGGGCACTGGGTTGAACAGTCGCAGTTACAGCATAACTAACAAACAAGAGCTAAAACAAATAGAAGGAAAGAAAAACTCAAAGCTGTTAGCAAGAGCTAATGAAAACAAACGCTTAACCCAACAAATTTTCCTTCACAAGAGATGTCTTGTCTTCATTATATCCAGGATTTCAAGCCATTAACTTTGCACACACACATAACACTGCCCTCTATGTTAAGATATATATGAAATAAAAACAGAAGATAACAGGACAAACTGTAATGTTCAGTGAGAAAATGCAGACAAATTGAATACATTATATTTTCTTCAGGCATTCATAGGTTATACAACGAAACAAGCAAACAAAAATCCTTAAGGTATGAAAATATTACAGCCCTAAAGTTGAATGTCTTATAGCTACTTCAGAAATAATTTAGGATCTACCACCCTAGAGTGTAGGTAGACCTCACGTACCTGCAGCACTGACCACGCCCAAATGGGCATGGTCACAGGTATGTGGGGAGAAGCAGAGATAAAGGTCAAGGAAAGAGGGGTCACGTTCTCTCTTGGGGCTGCAGTCGATCAGAGACCAGCAGAGTGCTGACCTCTGTTCTCGGCTTCTCATGTAAGTGACTTCTCTAATAAAGTATTATACAAGTTCCCTTTCTGGTATACTTGGTGTGGCTCGTTACTCCCTATTACTAGAGCACACTTTGGCTACACTTAGTTTGACTAAAAGTAGGTTGTTTGACTTCTTGGTCACACTGCCAATCAGAGACAAAAGTAGCATGTTTTAAGCCTTTTGTTTCCCTTTCTAAACTACCACTGAGCAAGTAAAACTATTTCAGTGTTTTCTTTTTTCTGAGATAGGATCCCATTATGTAGTCCTGGCTGTCCTGGAACTCATGTAGACCAGGCTGGCCTTGAACTTGGATTCATCTGCCTCTGCCTCCCAGTTACTAGAATTAAAGGCATATACTACCATGTCCAGTGTTTTAGTGTTTTTTTTTTTTATAATTGTCAAAACCTAGAAAAGTTCCTCAACCCTTTTCATAGCTACTTTAAATTACTTTTTATTAATTTCTTTTCTCATTTTATTTATTGATGGCTTCTCTAAAGAAATGCACTGCAAAGCTGATGGTGGCACAAACATAAAACTCCTCTCTGACATCCGCCTGGCTCCTCCTCTTCCTCTGACCACTACCTGAACCAGGTAGTGCTCAATCCTCTCCACTACGGCTTCCCTTAGTTTCCCGTCTATGGCAGAGGCTGCAGCGATCACAGCCTGCAGCACACCGCTTACCTCACTCACAACTGAGCACTAATTTCCCCTGTGAGTCATCTTCCGTGGCTTCCTTCTATCACATGATTAAAAAGGCTTCAGCAAAGGGTTCCTTCACATTTCCTAAGTTACCTTTTCAGCACTGTCAAATCTTCTTTCTCCCACAGCACTGCTAAACCGCAGGCTGTGAGTAAAGCACACTGTGGGCTGCAGTCTCAGTACACAGCACGGCCCTGAATTCCTCAAGTTTGATTGCACAATAAAGACAAGAGTATACGACTGAAAACACACAAACACAAAGTACAAGGTTTTCTGGTTTTTTGTTTCATTTTTAATTTCTTTTTGCCTGAACTATCCTTCTTCCCTTTCCTATCTGGCACAATTTAAATGTCATATTTCTGAATTCCTGGGACACACTGTTTGCACCCTCAGCTGCATTGCAATACTCAGACCGCCAATACCACCCTGACTACTCTAATTGTGACATTAATGTATTGTCACAAGACTGAGATTAGCCGAGTAGGGGGAATATATCTGTATTTACTTTTATAAGGTCAATGTCTAGTATAGTGCTTGGAGCTCAATACAGGCTTGTTGAATAAATGTATAAACATACATCTAGACCTCTAGCTCCCATGCAAGCCAGGAGTAAGCAACTGATCTTCACACCTGGGGAGAACAAAAAGTCTTGCTCAGACAATCTTCTGGAGGCCACAGGTTGTATTTAATAACAGAAAGAATCAAGAGAAAATAAAAATCAAAACTTTCCTTACAAACTATGAGGGGAGAGAAGGTAGATGCTCTTGAAAAGCACCAGGGTTCCATTTGGACACCAGTGCAGACAGTCCACTTAGAAGGAATGAGAATCCTGACTGCCGGGAACAATGTTCTCAACTATTGTATATAGTCAGGCTTTTTTTCTTGGTATCAAGCCAGAATGCCACATACTCCCAAATTTAAAAAAAAAAAAAGTGTGTGTGTAGGGGGAAGGGAGGTCTAGAAAATAGTTCTAAATAAAAATACATGTGTCTATTTCTTAGAAGACAGAAGGGTTCACTAAGCAACACTTTCTCATGCAATACAGTTAAATGTGATGGATACTTTCAGTTACTTTAGAAACTAAAGCAAAGTGACTGAATGTAAGTCACTTTGTAAGTTACCTGATTCCAGATAAACCTCTGTCATAAAAAAATACAACTAACTAAATAAAAACATCCTCAATCGTGTCAACTAGATGAGCAACTATTAAATAGAATTGTAAAGAAACAAGCCTGTAACCCAGCACCTGGGAGGCAGGAGCAAGACTGTGTGCTTAAGGGCAGTTTAGACTAGATAAGACCTGTGTCAAAAGAAAATTAAAGAAACACACTTGCTGCAATACCATGCATCTGTACATCGATGGGGCATTTCTAAAACATCCACACACTTTGGAGACCTCCGTTTGCCATCTAAAGGAGAGCAATAAAAAGTTAGAAGGCAAGATTCATGTTAAAGACAAACTTATGGTTGAGATTTGAATTATCTCATAGGAGGATATTTTTTTAAATATTCCAAAGGTTTTCTAAAAGGAGCAGGTACCACTTCTGTAACTGGTTTTTAAGAACTAAATAAAGTATATTAGCTGTTCTATGTAATAGGTTAAAATTAGTTTTAATTACCTTGTTTCAAGCTTAAATTCGGAAAGTTTGGCTCTGAGTTCCTCCTTACTCATTCTATTAATGCAACCATTTGTCATTGCAATCTCTTTGTAAACTGGGTCACTGAAGTCGCTTCCATTGGAGGTAATGAACTTAGATCCATCTGTTTCTTTGCCATCAAGTCTACATCGTTGCTTTTTCTACAAAAAAGGGGGGATTTATAATTAGTACAAATATATTTTTGAAGATTCCATGTTATGTGTTCAATGAAGGGTTCCCTTTGGCACCAGTGGAGGAGGGCAGGAAGATGAAAGATGGGTTTCCAATATAATTGGCCCTGCTCTAGTCTGAGTCATGAGATTCCTTAGAGGCAAGGAAGCTAAATAAAAAGAGGACAGATTAAATTAGAGTCGGAGCCATGACAGTCTGGGCCCCAGCTGGCCATTTACAGCAGCATAGCCTGGGAGTTAATAGCCACTGATCTGCAGTTTCCTCATCTATACAAATACACTGGTCCTAGATGGTAGTTGGTAACGGCAAACAGTATTTAGGTAGCATTTATTCTAAGTATGAGATTGTGTACATAGCAGGCTAACTACTAATAAATGTAATTTTACTTATAATCATCAGACCGTAAACAAACCCTCTCACAAACAATATCCCGAAACTTAGAAATAAGCCAAGTTTAAGTGACCTTTTACATCACTGTGCATCCATGAATCAGCAGCTTCTTCAGAACTTTTTAGCCTGGCTTTATTTCACAAAGTTAACAGAACCTGCCCTAAACGAAAAGAAAACAGACTTCCAGGCTGCACTAAAATATCCTAGGACGTCAAGCAAACAAATGCACTCTGTTCCAAAGCTCACAAGTTAAATCAAACATCCATCAGTTATTCAGATCTGCAGGGGGTGCCTTTCTGTCACTCCATTCTATTTTCTCCACAGGCAGACCTAAACCACAAACACACTAACCTGCAAAGTTAATTATGTTCTACATTCAAAGCTACAAATATAAACTGTTTTCAGCACTGTCAGAAACAGTTTATTTACTATTAACATATTAGAATCTATATACTAGGTCATAATGCAGTCCCTAACTCAAAACTGGTCTTGGTGGATCAAGGGTTACTCCCACTCTCCGCTTTCAACTCAAAGCAGCAAGCTTCACTGGCAGTGTACCCCTGCTAGGTGCTTGCATCAGGAGTACTCACTCGCCACTGCTAGCCCCTTTGAGGAAAGGCCAGCAACTCCAATGCCAGAGTCATTCATGAGTGGGAATAACCCTATCAAAATACACATTACAAAAACAAAAGCCCTTACTTTGTAAACTAATATATGCCTATACAAATATTTTTTAAAATTCCACTGCTCTTTGACCAAGAAAATAATTAGCTTCCAGGAATATTTAAATTTATCTTTAGATATTATCAGGATAGTTTATTCTTTATATTTAAACTTACAAAGAATTTCAAGCTCCATCTTTTTTCAGGTTACAACACTAAAGCACATTTTAACCAAAATAGATGTCTTAGTTAATTTATATAAATTCTCTTCTTTCAATAGATCTATTCTGATACACTTGAAGAATCCTTATCTAGCTTTGAAAATTTACCTCTTCTAGACATATAACACCTTCTAGGCATATAACACAAACACCTCTTTTAGACATACAAATTGTAATTTCTATAAAGATTTGTTTATTGATTGGCTATCAAGACCAATTCCATCCTTGATTTTGTGAAAATTGTTTCCTCCTAAATTTCAGGCCAAGATGACAAGCTCTCAAAAAAATGTTTAAATAAACCTACAAAGGAACAGAAGGGAATATTCAAAACCCCACATACACAAATTATCTGCAAATACTCATTTATTTACTAAGATTAGCACCTAGATCATCTGTCATGTCATTGGCCAGAGAATAAACCTGGAGATGAATTCACAAGATGGAAAGAAATACCAGTTCATTTTCACAGAACTGTAACACTCTGGAATCTTCATGTGCCCAATTAAGTACATGTATGGTTTGTATTATCATATTATCACAAGTAAGACCTCCTTCTACATTAGAGGGAATGATCACGAACTTCTACATTAGTACTTTAAAGTGTGGAATTTAAGGATGGGTCGCATACGTTCCAGAATAAGAACATGAGTACCTCAAAAAAAAAAAAAAATAGCTGGTCTTTTTCTATTGAGAAGGGGGGGGGGGTTCTACCGATCTTTGAAAGCCTTTTTTTTTTTAAATGAACACTACCTATAACTGAGGTGAGACTTTTATAAAGTAACTACTTCAGCTTTTGCATCTGTACACCGAGAAACAAAAATGTCCAAACATTAAAATGCTCCTTCTTTCCTTTTGCTGGTTTACATCAACCATGGAAACTAGAATCAATGGAAATTTACTAGATAAATCCCCAAAACAACTTTCTAAGACTGAAATCAAGGAAAAAATAATTTACCTATTTATTAAAAGCACTTAAAGGTAAGGCTTTAAAATCAATCTGAACACAGATCCAGGTCACAAAGCATTCTATCTTCAAGTTTCTGGATTTTTCAAAGACAATGAAGTATATTCGATTCCTTTTATGAAAAGAAGCTTTGCAAATCAGCTTTAAAACTGACTTAGATGATGTTATTGACATGCATTAAGACAAAAGGGGCATCTTTGCAGAGAGGGTGAATGGAAGCTTCTTCAGCCTTCCAAAGTATCAACTTGACAAGGGCAATAAGATAACACTGTAAAGACCCGGAGGGGGGGGGGGAAGAGTGGCCAGGATAAGGGGAGCACAAGATCTTTAAGGGAGAAAACCCTCCACTGCAGAAGAACACGGGGAAGCCAGACGGGACAGCAAAGAAAAGACAGGCACTACCCTACGGGCCAAAGTAGCCAGGGGCAAACGGAAGGCACAGAAGGAGGGGAGTGAACTAGATACATTCAGACAGCTAAAAGATCACTCGAGCAATTTCTGCTCTTGCAAGAGGACGGAGTTCGGTCCCCGGGACCCATACCTACTTCTGGCCTTTGCAGGCATCTGCAGGCACGTGGCACCCACTACACATACATACGTTAAAAAATAACATTCTAAAGGCCATTCTGGCTACTACACGAGGGTGTAAACGGAAAGAACAAAGGCACTAGGGAGTCTCTTCCCAACACGCACTTTCTGACATTTTGGATTTGAGCCAACACTTTCACGGCTGCGCAGATCATCTCTCTAGCCCCGCGAAAATCCTGGCTTTCTAAGCGTGCTCAACTCCTACGACGAAAAAGCGATGGACTTTTAGCAACTCCGTCACACCCCGCAGCGTTAGCCAGCACTAACTCAAGATGAACAAATAAGTCTGGAGACCCATCCCTCTTACAAGCTTGCCGCTGTCGCGAGGGTGGACCAGCGGGGTACCAAATTACTTAGAAAGACGAGGTTAAGAGGCTGCTCTTCCAGAGGACCCAGGTTCGATTCCCAGCACCCATACGGCAGCTCACAACTGTCTGTGACTCAGGTTTCAGGGGATCTGACACCTTCTATAGCAAAAGCAAATAAAATAAAGTTAAATAAGTCATTAAAAAAAGCCGATTGTGGCTGGGTTCTGGGCGAGAGAGTAGGGAACGGAGGAAGACGAGGAGAGGGATCCCTCGGATGCAGAAGGCTCGGGGGCTGGGGAGGCACAGGCTGCGAGCGGGAGCACCCCAAGCGCCTAGGATCCTCACCCGGGGTGGGGGAGCGCCGGGGCTAGCTCAGCCAATCAGCGCCGCGGGGCCGATGGAACGGCAGTGCGCCCGCGCGCGCCGAATGTTTACGCAAAATTCTCCCTCGGAACTTCCCCGCCGACCTCCTCCCTCGAGCGGAGGGCTGCTCGCCCCGGTGGGGACGGGGCCGGGGAAGGGGAGGCGAGGCAGCCCCGTGCGAGCGCCCTCACCTCCACGCTCAGCGGCCGCGGCTCCTCACACTCCGGCCGCGGCGTCTTCTGCTGAGCCGCGTCGCCGCCGCCGCCGCGCTGCCCGCCCCGCTCGTCCTCCATGCCGCCTCTCACGCCGGGAGACGGCCGCTGACGCTCGCTCCCACTCCGCCGGGCCCCGCCAAGCCGCCTTGCTCCCTTGGCAAAAAGAAAGAAAAAAAAAAAACTACCGCGCTCACTCCCGTTCCCGCGGCGGCCGCCACACAAACTCCGCCGGACGCCTCCCACTTCCGGGACCGAGGGGCGTCGTCACGCCGCGCAGGCGCAGTGGGCGGGAGCGTGTGCGAGCGAGTGAGCGAGCGCGCGCGCTCGCGAGGGTGGCGGCGGGAAAGAGCCCGGGAGAGGAGTCCCGGGACGAGTCGGCGTGCGTGGACAAGCCGGGTTTCCAGCGTGTGCGCCTTGCCTAGGGTGTACGAGTAAACCTGCCCTAATTAGCGTTAGCCGCGGGTTCTAAGACCTTTTCCCCAGCAACTCAAATCCGTTCATTCCTGTAGCCAGTTAATTTGAAAACAGCCACTGTGAGCCCGTCGGTGGTGGTGCATGCCTTTAATCCCCGCACTCAGGAAGCAAAGCTAGGCAGACCTCTGTGAGTTCGAGGCCAGCCTGATGTACAGAGTGAGTTCCAGGACTGCCAGGGCTACGCTTAGAAACCATGTCTCAAACAAACAAAAACCGACAACAGCAAGAACAACAACAAAAAACCCCACGATCAAAAAACCCTTCCACAGATGGCATCCCTCATGAGTAGACCTCGCAGGTTTTCTCTTGGCTAATTACACGCTTAAATCTCCAAGATTTTTTCCCCCTTTCAGTTGCTGTTTGACATTCTCTGGCATTTTGCAATCATTTCGTTTAGGGAAATTTTTATTCATTGTTCCCCCGCCTCCTTTGCATTTATGGGTGTTTTTGTAGGGAAACGGGGCCAGTCAAAGAAACACACCCTGAGCAGAGCCAAGGAAACACACTTTGGCCCGCAACCAGAACTAAAGAAATATACCCTGACCCTGAAACCAGTGCCAAAAGAACACACTTTGTCCCTGGAATCAGAGTCAGGGAAAGTATTGCACCCTGGCCCTAAAATTGGAGCCAAAAGGCTAAAAGGACCAGAGAAAAAAACACACTTTGGCTCTGGTTTCAGAGCCAAATCTGACGCTAATCCTGTGCAGAAAACTAACCAATCCTCGAGCAGAGCTCTAGCCAATCTGAGCTCAGCACTAAAATCTGACCAATCCCCACCCTAGAAGCCCTAGATAAGCCCTGTGTCTGTTCAGCTTGTCTGTTCGTCCTACCTGGCTCTCCTCTGCCACTCTGGCAGAGGGCAGCCACTCTCCTGGATTCTTCCCTCCCAATAAATCCCTTCAATGAGCTTTGGGTGAAGATCTTCTTTTGTAGCAGCCAACAGAGCAGAGGCGACCCTGGGCAGAGCAGAGCAGAGCGAGCAGGGCTGTAACACTTGCAGGGGAAACATTGCCTTGGCAGAGCAAAGTTGTTACACTCCGTAGTCCGGTTTGCTCTCCGCTCTTTCTGCTCTCCCGGGGTCTAGCAAAACTGCTACACTGGGCGAACATCGCAAGCTGGAAGACTCTGCCCTGCTGGAGCAGAGCTGATACACTGGGGAAGCCTTTCTCTGAGGCTAGGCTGCTAAGCTTACTGCAACCTGTGGTGGTCCTTGGCTCCCGAGCTCCAGGATACCTTTCCACCTGAGCTGTGTAACACTCAGTATTCTGTGGCTCCCGAGTGCCAGAATGCCTGAACCACTCCTGTTCCATCCTGTTCCAACCTGATCTGTCCGAAATGCCTACAGTTTTACCTCACGGTATGCCTGCACCTTGTGTGTGCAGTATCCCAGGAGGACAGAAGAGGGCTTTGGGTCCCCTAGTATTGGAGTTAGAACCAGTTGGGAGCTGCCACGTGGGTGCTGGTGTTAGAAGTCAGTTTGAGAAGCAAAGGAAGAGACCACCATTCCAACTAAAGTATCTGGGCAAGGCAAGCCTTACTAGATCAAGTGTGTGTGCTCAGAGCATACGAGAGACAGGAAGTGTGTTTGGTGTTTATTCTAACTTTGGTGGTGGCTCTTCCCAGTTTTCTGTGGTCCAATCTCACAATCTCAATTGGCTAGTCTGAATAGATTTGGAAATGGAGGAAAGTTGAAAAGGGTCACTGTGCCAGGCCATCAAATTCCTAGAATAAAAGAGCAGTTCTTTGTGTAAGCAATGGTTTTTCTGGTTCTGGAGGATAGAAACATTTGCATAAAGGTCTTATCACATGAGGGAAGATAAAGAGATTTTAATTCTTTGTCCTAAACACAAGTTTTAAAGAATTTGTAGAAAAATACATTTTAATGATTTTTATTCTATGTGCATGAGTATTTTGCCTACATGTATGTCTGTGCACACTACATGTGAACGCGGTACCAACAGAAGCCAAAACAGGTGTGAGAGCCTCTGGATTGGAGTTTCAGACGGTTGTCAGCTGCCTAGTGGGTGCAGGGAACGCACCATTTGTGCTTTGCAAGAGCAGACAGTGCTCCTAACATCTAAGCTGCGTTCCCAGCCTCTTCGTTGGCTCCCGAAGTGTAACTTCCTCTGATTCTTTTCTATCCGGGATTCATAATAGATATTAACATCCTGCTTCTTTCTTTCTATTTCTCATCTCTTTATTTTTTTTCTCCAAACTGTTGAAAGTCATTGAGTATAGACTCCTCCCCACTTCATAATCAGCAGCTTGTAAGATGAGAAACTGAAACTACATGACTGTGGTTCCTAGTCCGAAGAGTGGAGTCTGAGGCTTGTCTCTACATTAATATCTACCTCACTTGAGGGATGGGGTGACCCAAAAGGGCCTGTCAATCACCAATACAAGGGGGAAAACATATCCCCTAGGAAAAGCCGTCTGTACTGGAGATTAGAACTAGAATAAAGCATAGCTAGAACACAGGTTGGCATTTGTGCAAACTTACTGTTGAGAATAAATCCTTTGTGATAGTGCCTTGGGTGGCTGTCCACACACCTTGAAAGTGCTCCATTTACTCTGTCATAACCCAGGGTGGAGAGAGATGGCTCAGTGGCTGGGAGCACATGCTGCTCTTGCAGAGGACTGGTTTGCTTCAAGTGCTCACATTGGGTGACTCATAACTACCTGTGGCTCCAGCTCCAGGGGACCTACACTGCTCTGGCATATACTGACACTCCTTGGGCATACACACACACATACATACACACACACACACACACACTGTAATAATAATAGCAAGTAATAAAACATCTTTCTACACTATACTTTGTTTCTTCTGAATACTATGCACAGAGATCACAAGAACTGGGAACTCTAGAATGATATCTCTGTGACAGTGTCTCCTAGAATCATCATCTATCTGATTCTACAAATCTCTGTCTTGGGGTTGTTGCAATGGCTCAGTGAGGAAGAGGAGCCACAAACCTCTACCTTATTATTCGGCTGTTTCTGTCTGCTGTTTTTCTTATTTATTGATTTTTTTCTTTGTGTTATTTTATTGAGACAAACAAAAACTCAGAGAGATTCAGTTGATTTACTTAGGATATTTGGTCCCATAAGAAAGGCAATCATGGGACCGGGGCAATAGCTCAGAGATTAAGAGCACTGACTGTTCTCACAGAGATCCTGAGTTCAACTCCAAGCAACCACATGGTGACTCACACCATCTGTAATGAGATCTGGTGCCCTCTTCTAGCATGTAGGCATATATACAGGCAGAACATTGTATACAACTTTACTACATCTGGAATCAACCAAATCCCAAGTGGCTGGGTACCTATCTTTTGTGGGGGATTTTCTTCATTGGATCATCTGTGGCAGGAAAGCCCACTGTAAGTCTGGGTCATGCCCTGTAGCGATAGCCCACATAAGAGGACGTGGAAAAAGGAAGATTTTTGCTGTTGACCTGGCTGTCTTCACTATTGATAGCAAGTTCATGCATCATGCTACTGAGGCATTCCTTCCCTGATCAGGATTGCAACAAGACTTAAGACTCACTGACATCGATCCTAGCTGACTGAACAAGTACAGAATTCTTAGCCTTTCCTGTAGGAGTGAACTCCACAAAGCTATCCGCCCAACAGGGCGGGGTCAAGGTAGATAAAAGGAAGTGAAAGGAAAAGGGGCTTCCCTTTTTTCCTGGAAGCCAGCCACGCTTCTAACTCCTGGTCTGTGCGACTCTCTCTCTCTCTCTCTCTCTCTCTCTCTCTCTCTCTCTCTCTCTCTCTCTCTCTCTCTCTCTCTCTCTCTCTGATAAATAAATAATTGCTTTCCTTATATAGCATTGAATATCGTTAGACTTTCCATTCGGAGACAGTCATTGCTGACTAATTGAGCTGCAGCCTGTAAGCTGTTCTAATCCTTCACTCCCTCTGTGCCTGCGTGCATTTGTGGGAGCGTGTGTGTGTGTGTGTGTGTGTGTGTGTGTGTGTGTGTGTGTGTGTCTGTCTGTCTGTCTGTCTGTCTGTCTCTGTGTATGTGTGTCTGTCTCTATGTATTTGTGTGTATGTGTCTATCTCTGTCTCTGTCTGTGTGTGTGTCCTTGTGTGTATGTGTCTGTCTCTGTGTATTTGTGTATATGTGTCTGTCTCTGTCTGTCTTTGTGTGTGTGTGTCTCTGTGTCTGTCTCTCTGTGTCCTTGTGTGTATACCTGGCTCTGTCTCTCTGTGTTTATGTGTTTGTGTGTCTGTGTAGCTGAACCGAGTCAGTTTAAGGAGGGGGACTTAACCTTGAATGCAGCCAGCATCGTACCATGAGTTGGAGTCCTAAGATGAGTGGGTGGAGAAAGCAGGTAGAACACTAGAATTTATCTCTCCACTTCCTCACCACCATGTTCTCCTATTGACACAGCTAGAACCATCTAGCACCACACCTTTCTAATGATAGTATTATACCTCCAAATTCTTCCATAATAAATACTGTTTATAAGAAACACCAAGTTATTTGGAGAATCACAAGTTTTCTCTGATTTCAAAGTCTATGCATGTACACTTGGAAAATTAAGAAAGTAGAGGTTGGACACAGTGGCTAACATCTTTAAATCCTAGCATGTGTGGGGCAGAGACAGGCAGATCACTGTGAGTTCAGGGCTAGCCATGTCTACACATCAAGTTCCAGGCCAGCCAGACATACATAGTGAGACGCTGTCTAAAAACAAAAAAAAAAAAGAAAAGAAAAAAGGAAGGAAGAAAGGAAGGAAGGAAGAAGTATTATATTTAT